TTCCAGCAACCGTTCTTCATATGTTTTATCCTCCAGTCCCCTGATCATCTTTGTTGCTCTTCTCTACACTTTTTCTAGAGTCTCAACATCTTTTTTTACATTGTGACGACCAAAACTGACATTGTGGTGATCAAAAACGTACCTTCTGGATTCGTCTAGTTGGATATTCCCTCAACTGCTTCTAAACTTGTTTTGGGGCTGATGCCTGAAATAAGCAGGTAACATTGCAGATGAGGAGTCTGTCTGTCTTCTTGTGAATCATCAGCTGTACATTTGTCCAATGAGAGACAAATCATATCAACTGGAAAAGGAATCCAGCTTCTAGATGAATTCAAGCTTCCCAACGCTTTGTGTGTGTTAATGTTAAACATTTACTGTTTCAGACTAGTCCTTAGAGGTTTACATTTGGCTGTAATGAAGGTGTGAGTCATTTTTAAAAAAATAAAAATAAAGCCAGCTCCCTCCCTCTTCTCCTGCACCCCCTTCTCTCGCGCAAACACATATATCAGGAGCTCCTCGAAATGGTGTCCTTTCTGGATGGTAAACCTCTGTCCCGTTTTTTTCTTCTCAAAGGCATCCTTAATAAGAGTATGCATGGTATTCTTAAACTGTTGGCTGGTTTATCATCATCATTTATGTCAGGGGTGCCAAACTCACGGCTCAGGGGCCAGTGGTGGGATTCAAAAAAAAATTACTACCAGTTCTGTGAGCATGGCTAGGTGGGTGTGGCAGAGGAAGGATACTGCAAAATCCCCATTCCCTCCCCACCCCACTAACCTGCTTTCCAGCTCCGTTCTCCTGTGCAGGGCAACAAAAAAAGATCCAGCCAATCAGCCGGGACTCAGGAGGCAGAGAATATATGGGGGCGGGGCCAGTCAGAGGCGGGATTTGCTGGTTCTCCAAACTACTCAAAATTTCCACTACCGGTTCTCCAGAACTGGTCAGAACCTACTAAATACCACTTCTGCTGGGGGCCGGATCTGGCCCATGGGGCTGCCCTGGAAACACTGAAGGACCGCAGTGTCTGCAGTGCCTCTGCCAGCAAAAACTGCTTGGGAGGATCCACGGGACGCTGTCCTGAGCTCCATTTTCCTTGGCAGAGGGTTGCAGGAGGCGTCCCAGCCGAAAACGTGTCAGCCTTCCAGAAAAACCAAACGGTGCAGTGTCGGGGTTTTAGATTCAATGTGGGAGGGTGAAGGATGTGTGTGTTTAGTTTCATGGTCATGATGTGCACTGAAGATGGTGTTTGATTTCGTTGTACGAGGTACAGTGACAATAAAGTAAAGTAAACTCCAACACCAAAACTCTGAGGCAGGCATTTTCTCAAAGTTCCATTTTATTAGGGTAGTCATAATGGCACATCTGGGAAACCCCAAATCTGAGAGTTCCAGGTTTCCTCACCCTAATTCAAAACACAAACACAAATCCACCCCCTGCGCCCATCAGTCCATCCCGCTAATATGGCTTCCAAAGCTGACGAAACGGAGCTCGGGAGTCTGTTTTCAGTGGCAGAACGCTCGGGCCTCCACAGGCCCCCCCACAACACAAATGACGTTGAGCTGGCCACGCCCACCCTGGCCCTCCGAGGTCAAACACCACCCTGATGCGGCCCCCTCAATGAAATTGAGTTTGACACCCCTGATCTATGGGAACCTTTCTGGACTGGGAAGTTAACAGGATCTCTTGGTGAGCGTTCCACGGACCATGATCTTCAGAAGCCTTCAGAACCTGGCACTGCAACAGGGAGAACTTGAATTTTGAATTTAAACAATAGATTGTAGCAATTTGATATATATATTTTTTCAATGAATGGAAGGAACAGGAGATATATTGAACTACATCATGAAACATGTCATGTTAGACCGTCCGTCCTGTGGAAGAGAGCCAAAAAAGGAGGCTAAGGCATTTCTACTGTTTTTAACTGCAGTCTTTGGAAATGGAACATTCTGCATCATATTTTCTAAAATGTTTTCGAATCTATTCCCTCACCGCCATATATCTATAGACAATAAATACTTGGTCACACATCCATGTTTTAATATTTAAAGTCTTAAAATATGACTTCCTGGCCTAACTGTTGAACAGCAGGTAGTTTAAGCAACTGGAGTCATGTATGGATGACTTAGACTTTAGATGGGTGCTTCACAAAAGAAAACCAAAATAAGCCTAATAATAATAATAACTTGCTGTGTGATAAAAACAACTGAACTCAACCTAAACATCTGGCTGACTGCAGAACCAATGCAATTGGTAGATAAAATTGTCAAACCCAGTCGAAACATCTGACTGGTTGTGTGACCAATCATGATTATAATAATAGTAACAATAGTGGTGGTGCCTTGGGTTCAGTTCCAAAACATCTGGAACATCACTTGAACACCATCAACATTGACAAAATCATCTGTCAATTGCAAAGGCAGTTTTACTTACTTACATCCCATGGCAACCTCTAACATCATCAAACAACAACATTTGCCGATCTCAAGTCCTTGAGAAAGGCTTGATAGGTAGACAAAAATGCCAAATCCAGTCTAAACATTTGGCAGACTATGCAACCAAGTATAATAACAATATAGCAACTAAGAATCACAGAAAAGAGCTGGAGAATACTTTATGTTGCATTATTTCCAGCAGAGGTAAGTCAAATTTATGGATGACAAACCCACAACTAATTTAGAATTGAAATTTATTCCAGCCAAGGACTTTATCTACAATACAAACAAGTTAAAAGTTGGAGGTCACTCCCTAGTGAAAATTTCCATCTTGATTGATTGGTTGGTGGTTGGACAGTTGGTTGGTTGAATAGTTGGTTGGTTGGTTGGATGGTTGG